CTAGTTCATAATTTGGTGGAGAGACATCATGTATTTGCCCCCAAATTCGATTGAATCATTAATACTTTTACCTTTAAAGATGCTTGCATTGTGATTCTATTTATGTAAAATTTAAAATATGCAAAACTTATTATGATCAGAAATACATACATTGATAAAATTATGAAGAAATGCAAGGAAAAGATTATTGCAAAGTACAGGATAGAAACTACCTCCAATGTGGTTAGAGAGAGGATTAAGATCAGAGGGGTTTTCAGGGGACTCCTGAGGCACTGGAAATACTCTATGGCTTGACCTGGGGAAACCTTGATTTATAATTATTCATTAAACTGCACATATATGTCTTATGCACTTTGCTTATATTAATTATATTTCACGGTTTTATTTAAATAGGATATTCTACTCTGAGATGACTCACCAGTCTGTTATATAGATTATACTTACACTAAAAACATATTCATTGTTTATCTGAAATTCAAATTTAACTGCACATCCTTAGTTTTACCTGGCAACCTCCACAAATCAGAATAGCACAGGTCAATTACAAATACTCAGTAAAAAAAAAAGCCAAAATAAACCAGAAATAGAGCCCGCCCTGATGGCCTAGTGATTAAAGTTGGGCACATTCCACTTTGGTGGCCTGGGTTCGGTTCCTGGGCACAGAAGCACACCACTTGTCTGTCAGAAGGCATGCTGTGGCAGCAGCTGTCACAGAAGAATTAGAAGAACTTACTACTATACACAATATCTACTGGGGCTTTGAAGGGGAAGAAGAAAAATAGGAAGAAGCTTGGCACAGATATTAGGGGTTAGTGTAGGGCAAATCTTCCCCTGCAAAAAAATAAGAAGAAAAATAATAAACCACAAATACAGTGCGTTCTTAGAAGTCTAGTCATTTCTGTTTTACATTCTATTAATATGATAAATTTGTATTTCATGGTTTGTGACCCTCCTCCTCATCCATCCAGGGACTATTTTTGCAGGCTACATGGATGCAAATCATAATTTGCTTATAGGAAGGCAAAGAAGCTGACCTTTATAAATACAACCATGCCTAAGAAAGGAGAGCTTCAAGTCAAAAACAAATCTGAAAAAATTTTTAGTTTGTTCTTTTTGTTAAGCAATGATTTGCCTTTTATTAAGTGCATTTGTTTGCACAGGAAAGGAAAAGACAATCAAATAGGTAAAATGGATGCTATCCCACTCCCTTATACACGAAGAATTACACATCTGTCTAACAATACTAACCACTCTGAAAGATAATTATGGATCAATGCTTTAAAAAATATCTTGAATTGCCTGCAGAAATGGCAAGGAGAATTCAATTAAATTATTTGTAAAAGCCAGAGTCTTTTTCTCCTATCCATCTGCTTCTTGAAATGGGATGACCTTTCAAATACTGCTTGCCGTTCTCAAAGCAAATTCTAAATAAAGAAGTGGAGTGTGTGTTTTTTTTTTCCCCTCTCCACCAAGTTCAGCATAGATAGAGCATTTGTACTGACTTTCTATACCACTCAAAAGAATGCAGATTTGGCTTCCAGAACAGAAAAGAAGCATTTTAGGAATATCAATCAGGCTCCGTGCCAGGCCTCAGTCATGACATTTACCTTCTATCAGAAAGGTGTGCTGCTTCTGAGATAAGTGTCTGGGAACAAGCTTCATGAAGTAATTTACTCCCGGGAGAAAAACTGGAAACCTCTCCCCTGAGCAAATGGGATAAAGTACACATGTTAGTGAGGAGTCCTTTGTTAAACTGCCTGTGGCAGGAGAGCTCATTCAAAAGAGCAGCTATTTAAGTAACAATAGACTCAAAACAGACCTTCCAAAGGCCCCTCCATAGGCCTTCTATTATCAACTATCAGCTTGTACTATGAGTCTGTTAATAGCTGTGCTTTCTTCACTGAGTCTATACACTCCTTACTTTGTTTACTGTTCCCCTTGCCCCTGTCAATTTTTAAAACATTTCCAGTTTGGTCTTTCCTGTCTTATTTTTTTTAATCAAGATGTTCTTAAAAGATTCAATGCATTTTTCTTGATAAAAGTACAGCGAACATATTTCAAAAAGTTCAAAAAAGATAGAAAAATATAAAAGATAATCTATTACCACATCACTCAGAGAAAACTACAGCTAACAGACTGGTGTGTATACATCCATTCATTTTAATGCATAAATATATCACAAAATTGGATCATACTATATAACAACTAGAATCTATCACATTGATCAATTGTCTTATGCATATCTTTCTATGCCATAAGTGGAAATCTACATAATCATATGTAAATTTTCACTATAACTTTGTAATATTGTACGTGTGTCTGTGTGTGTAGACAGTTGAAATGTGACATAACTTTTAAATGGATTTACTTAAATGCTCAACTACTTATGAATACAGAGATCTACAGTTTTTTTTTGTTATTATAAACAAACCTATAATGAATATCCATATACACACCTTTGCAATTATTTCCTCAGCATTACTTTCTAGAATTAGTATGGCTGCATAGATTAAGATTATCAAAGTAGTTAAGTTAATACTGCCAAACTGGCCTCTAGAAACTTTACCAAGTGATGTATGCACTCTATACAATACCTTACACTCTGTATAGTATTGAGAAGTATCCATTTTTTGGACATTTGCCAGTCTGAGCAAAATCTCATTTTTGCTCTAATTATCATTGCTTTGATAATTAATGAGGCTAAAAGTTTTATTGGTGTTTTATTAAGTTTTTTGTTGCCATAACTGGTTTATAACATTATATAAATTTCAAGCGTACATCATTATATTTCAAATTCTGTGTAGATTACATCATGTTCACCCCTGTCACCCTCCTCCATTGCCCCTTCCCCTCTGGTCAGAGACCAATCCAATCTCTGTCTCTATGTGATTGTTTGTTGTTGTTTTTATCTTCTATTTATGAGTGACAGCATACGGTATTTGACTTTCTCCCTCTGACTTATTTCACTTAGCATAATGTCCTCTGGGTCCATCCATGTTGTCATAAATGGCAAGATTTCATAGTTTTTTATGGGTGAAAAGTATTCCATTGTGTATATATACCACAATTTCTTTATGCATTCATTCCAAGTCTTAGCTATTGCAAATAATGCTGCAATGATCATAGGGGTGCATATATATTCACACATTCATGTTTTCATGTTCTTTGGATAAATACCCAGCAGTGGAATAGCTGGATCGTATGGCAGTTTTATTCTTAATTTTTTGAGGAATCTCCATACTGTTTTCCATACCAGCTGCACCAGTTTGCACTCCCACCAGCAGTGTATGAGGGTCCCCTTTTCTCCACATCCTCTCCAACACTTGTTATTTCCTGCCTTGTTAATTATAGCCATTCTGACAGGCATGAGGTGATATCTCATTATAGTTTTGATCTGCGTTTCTCTGATAATTAATGATGTTGAACATTTTTTCATATGTCTGTTGGCCATCTATATATTTTCTTTGGAGAAGTGTCTGTTCAGATCTTTTGCCCATTTTTTAATTAGATTGTTAGATTTTTTGTTGTTGAGATGTATGAGTTCTTTGTATATTTTGGATTTTAACCTCTTATCAGATATATGGTTTGAAAATATTGCAGCTGAGTTGGGCCAGCCCCAGGCATGGGAGTACCCAATTGTTTCAGGCTTTGGAAGGTGAGGCCAATCCCCTATGTGGCTGCTTGAAAAGCACAAGTCTGCTGTAGCTGACAAGCCCCACTGCCCACAAGGCCACACACCCTGTCAACATAGTCTTGCCCCATGCATGTGCCCCAATCCACTGAAGCAGACCCAGTCGCCTCACTACAGAGGTCTCACACACTCCACCAAGACAGGCTCACCCCTCATGCACACCCTGCCCCATAGAGGTGGACCCAATCACCAAGCTGCAGTTTCCAGGCACCCTGCCTATGTTGGGCCCACAAGTTGTCTGAGAGCTTGCTGTTCTTGCAGTCCCTTGGGTGGGCTGCCTTCTCTGGCTGAGCTGGATTAAATTGGTGCTCTAGTGGGTGGGGCAGATCCTTGTGCTAACAGGCCAGGGGAAGAATTCCAAAGGTATCTGCCAGCGTCTGTGTCAGCACACTTGTACTGGGTCACAATGATGGCTGCAGCCAATGTCTCAGTCCCTAGGGAGCTCTCACCTCTCACCAAGATGCACTCAGAGCCTTTCAAGTGAGTCTCTTTTCACCAAAGAACTGTGTATGTACCTTTCTCTCTGGTGATTTTAGGTTGTTTTCCAAAATGGGTGAATTGTGCATGGGCCCTCTAAGAGCAGGCTTTTTTCCCCTTATGTCCCATAGCTTTTCTGGGGGTATTCCCCATTGTAGTTAATAGCTGGCAAAGCCAGATAGTATGACACTTGTCTTGGTTGTGCTCAGTCCAAAGCTGCTTATAGTAACACTCCTCACTTGGATCCCCCAATCCTCCAGGGAAGGCTGCATACCTTAGCATTGCTCCCAGCTTGCCATGAGGCACTACAGCTTGATAATGGCTTTTTCCTTTCCAGAAAGGAATTTCTGCTTCTTCCACCTCAGTCACCACTGTCCCTTATTGTAGGGGTTCTCTTTATCCAGTTTTCAGTTCTTTCTCAGGGGTAATTGTTCCAAGAGTAGTTGTAAATTTGTTGTGTCTGTGGGAGGAGGTGAGTTCAGAGTCCGCCAATGTCACCATCTTGACACCACCTCCTATTGGTGTTTTATATCTCCTCCTTTGTAAATTACCATTCAAACATTGTGCCCCTTTGTTTTTTTCTGTTGAGGAAGATTGTCACTGAGCTAACATCTGTGCTAGTCTTCCTCTATTTTTTGTATGTGGGACGCCACCACAGCATGGCTTGATGAGCAGTGTGTAGGTCCGTGCCCAATATCTGAACCCATGAACCCCAGGCTGCCAAAGCAGAGGCTGTGAAGTTAACAACTATGCCACCAGGCTGGCCCCTTGCTCATTTTTTAATGAGGTCCAAGCATTATCTTAAAATATAATATCATGAGGATTGAAGATGAATACATACATATATAAAATCACAAAAAATGGTACAGAGAATAATCACTTTAATCTAAAAATAGTATATACTCAGCATTACAAATTAAACAAAACACATACATATGTATGTTAACAAATAGATTCTGCTTAACAAATTAAGCAAAAACAGACATACACACACACATATAAAATAAATCAATACTCTCCCCCAGCCCGATTCTCAATTCCCAGCTGGGAGTTCCTGGTCTTCTAATATTTGTATTGTTTAATGTTGTACATTTATATCTTTAATTTATCTGAAATTTATATTTTTTATTTCACGGTGAGAAATAGGGGTCTATAATTTACAACTTACAAATGAAAAGCCAGCTTTTACAATATCATTTTTCACATAAGCATCCATTTCCCACTGAATTAAAAAGCCACTTTTACTAAGTATTTAGCTCACTATTAGGTATTTGGATCTGTTTCTGACTCTTTTTTCTATTCCATTGATCAGTTTTTCTCCTGGTAAATGGTAATTTCTCATGGTAAATTTTTCTCATGTAAAACATACAGTTTTAGTAACAGAAATTTTATATTAAGGTTTAATGTCTAGAAGGAAGAGTAAAATAAAAGCCTGTTGCCATTCTGACTGGAATTCCATTAACACATGTATTATTTTAGAAAGGAATGACATTTTATAATAACAGGAAATATTATGGAATATAGTATGACTATTTCTCTTGTTAAATTTATTACTAAGGATTTTATATATTTTGTTACATAAATGAGATTTTTTTATTGCTATGTAACTGGTTATTGAAGGTATAAAGAAACTTTGATTTTTGTATATTTACCTTGTGGCCATCCAGCCTACTGTTTTCTTAGTAATAGTCTATAATAGTCAAGTTTTCTAGGAATATATTCACATCATCTCAAAATGAAAATAACTTTGATTTTTTCCAATATTTATATTGCTTAATTTTATTGTTTAATTACATCATGTAGAACCCACAACACAATTCTATGTAACAGTGTCGACAGCAAAATATCCCTCTGCATGTTGTCTGGTCTTAATAGGAATGGCTTTCATATTTCACAGTTTAATGTAATGTGAACCTCCCCCCCCTCCCCCAGATTAATGGCCATCTGGAATTTCAGGTAACCTTATTTTGAAATGGGGGTCTTTTCAGATGTAATTAGTTAAGATGAGGTCATAGTGGATTAGGATGGGCCCTAATCCAATGAGTGGTATCCTCTTAGGAGGAGAAAATAGAGACCCAGACAGACACACAGGGAGAACTCCATGTGATGACAAAGGCAGAGACTGGAGTGATGTGTCTACCGCCAAGGAATGCCAGCAACGACTAGAAGCTGGGAAGAGGCAAGGAAGGATCATCCTGTAGATCTTTCAGAGAGAGCATGAGCATGTTGGCAACTTGATTTCAGACCCCTAGCATCCAGAACTGTGAGAGAAAAAATTTCTGTTGTTTTAATTCAACCAGTTCAGGAATTTGTAATGGCAGTCCTAGGAAACTAACACAGCATGTATTGATAAAATCATATCATTTTTATCTTTTAATATGCTGATGTGATGAATGGTGTGCATAAATTTCCAATTCTGAACCAGCTTATAAGTTTTGAAATAAATCTTATTTCAAACATTTTATTATATTTTCATAAGTAGATGGATTTAAGTCACTATTTTTTAAACTATATATTTCTATATACAAAAATGAAATTGGTATAAAATATCTCTTTACAGCTAATATAACAGGTTTTGATATAAAGTTATGCTAGATTTGTACAATTACTTGAGGCCCCTTCCCTCTTTCTTTATAGTTATGAATTCTTTGATAACCATAGAGAGTACTTATTTTTGAAGCTTAGATTTAATTTGGTTGTAAAACCATCTGGGCTTGGTGCCTTTTTTAATGGTACGTTTTTATGAATCTTCCACTTTCCTTTATGATTATTGGTATAAAAATGTTTTACTTTTCTTATGTGAATATCGATAATGTATACATTCATAAAGAATCACCATTTCTTCTAGATTTTCAAATGAATGGCTATAGAATTTTTTCAAAAATCTAGTCGTACCAGTATTGGTTGGTAGAGTTGGCCAGGAAGCTAGAAGAGTATACATTTTTTTCCTCCCCCACTACTACATGTGGACTGAATCAAAATAGTACAATCCTTAAAGAAAGAGAAGACCCATTCTTGAGTCAGGGGTATAGAAGTAGCTCTTATCCCTGGCTAGAACCTCTAAACAAACTAGTAGGGAATGTTTTCATCTGAATCATCAGGACTGTGTCACAATAAAACCTAGATGGTTGGTCCTCCAGTCATTTGATACTTTCCTGGAGTCTTAGCAAAACTATGCAGAAAAATTTTTGACATTTCCATTGAGCTACAGTAAAGCCCTCAGTTTTTGAAACATTTGACAAAATAAGAAAAGAATTATTCTTCCCTCACACCTGCACACATTGTAAAATATCTCCAACTTTTTAAGAAACAATTTTCTCTGCAACTCTCCCAGACTTCATACTCATATCCTTTTATTCATAGCAGATGGAGGGAATGAGAGTAACATATTTGCTCTAAAATCATTAGTGTTGCATCAGCACTTCCAAATTAAATGGCATTTCCAGGGGTTATTGTTACGTGGATCAAGAGTTTGCTTTAGGCACAAAGAGACATAAAAACAACTTTGAAATTTTATTTTTGCAATTAGCTTTTACAACTTAATTTCTTCGACATCATTCTAGCTGGATTTTAAACACAAATCAAAAGAGAGAAGAGAGTGGTCTGATTCACCCAAGGGTCAGACTGTTCACTGGCCAGTCCTCTGATAATTTATTATGGCTGCTTCTTAAAAACAATGTTCTCAAAACGGACCACCAACTGCTGGGTTGTCTGGAAGACTGCGAATACATTCTTACCTCTCAGATATCAGCCTGCCCTTTAGCCTCCTGAAATGCCCAAAAGAAAACTATTTAGTCAGTGAGTTTCAGACGACTGTCCCTCTGTACAAGAGCTAAACAATCCCTGGCTGAAGAATGAACCATGAGTGTCAATCCATGAGTGTTTCTTTAGCACATACTATATCAAGTCCACTGCGGAATTTCTTTTTTTAAGTTTAAGATGCTACACACAAATGCAATCATGCGTAAACATAAGAGCAACCACAGAGAATGATATCAGATAGCAATAGTCATACTTTATATTTCTATACTGCATTACAATTTTCAAACTACTTTCATGACACTTTTCCTATTTTATCCTCACAGTAAATCTGTAACGAATGCAGGATAAAAGAGGAAGGAGACATACACATAGAACTCTAGAGATGAAAGTGACATTAAAGATCATCAATAACCTTCTTTTACAGGTAAGAAAATGGAGACCAAAGGGCAATGAGGACCTTTGGCTTCTTGCACAGTTGGGCTGCAAGACTAATAAAGTGAAGGCTTGGTCACCACAGGAGTTAGAACCAAGAGTCACAAAAATAATACAAGAAAGAGAAACATGATGGGAGTAAAGGACACTAATTCTGATTTAATGTATTTTTTTTAAAAGCAATTCTATTGAATTAAACTTTGAAATTCAATGTTGGCCTCTAAAGACCACTTGGGTATGGTGGTTTTAGGCCATTACTAGATCTCTTAGACAGAAATACAATTTTGATACTCATAGTTTCCAGTTAATACGTGCAAGCATTTAAAGAACATATTCATGTGGCTGTAAATGGTATACACATATGAACACAAAAACTTAAAATTCTCTATATAACTGCTGAAAGGAGCCTAAACATTCTATAGCTCAATTAAAAAGCTACTTGTGCCTTTCCTGAACACTCACCCTCAATCTATCCTCTACTCTCACAGCTCAGCAAGTCCTAACTGATTATCTTAATACTGTGACCTCTCTATTATACAATAAGATTTGAAAATAATCTTTCCTTTAAATGAGAATATATTAGAAGTATATATTTTCTGTTACAGCATTCTCAAAAATATATCCCAATAATGCATAGGCCAGTGTCCTATCTTTTATTCAATAGACAATAGCCATTTTCCATGACTCAGTCCAGAATTTCTTTGAAAATCTGCATCTGGGATATCATCATAATTCTAATAAGAGACTGCATTATAGAAAAGCACAAAACCAAAAACATTAAAAGTGGAATCATTATTTTAAAAAGAAGAAATTCAAAGCAATGGTGAAAGACTGTATCAGGGTTAGAGGACAAATCTCTGTGTTAGAATAAACAACTTATTGTCAGAACACACAACAATAACCTCAACATTTTAAAACTGTTTTTTGTCACCTTTTAAATGTCTGGGAATAGAGAATGTAAAACACTATGTCTGACGCACCATGGAAAGTTTTATGATTCTCCTCAAAAAAGGAAGAACAAATATCTCTATTTCCATTCCAGATCTGCACAATATATTCTTGCATCCCATTTGCTCTGATTCATTTACATTTTGCTGAATTCTGTTTTTGTCCATTCTCATCATTCAAAAGATAAAAAAAAAAAAGAATCAACAACAAAAAGCCCTCAAAAGATGCTTTCAGATGAAATTGCAAAGAAAATAAGTACATGAATTAGTGGAGCAGCATCCAAGTTGATACAAACGTGGCAGTGACATCTTTTCTCATCTTGTCCGAGAATTAATTGCACTGCTGAAATCAGACACCCAACCTGCTCCATGCAACAGGAGCCCAAGCCGGAAGCAAACTCTCTGAATAACAACACTGCCTTCTGATTCTTTTCACACAGCTATATTTTTGACATTTCCTTCAATAGTCTACCCAGTTGCAGTGTGACTATGACAAAACACTTCTGAAGGCATGACTGGCACATCTGTGGTGAGTGGCAGGGAACGGAAACAGGCAACAAGTCCCTTTAGTGGCACCAAAAAGCCCACAGGCAATCTGCAAAACTTTTACATAAATGCTCTAAGAAACGGATATAAAAAATGGAAACCGTGATGACAATTTTAATCACTTGACAGGCAATTCTATGATCTACTATAACTTTATAATGGCAAGGCCTCTGACACACAAGAGACTGACAGGCATATATTCTCTCTGCCTCTCAGTCTCTTTAAATGTTTATATGAAGGTTTTACACATGGATGGAGATGACCTTAACATAGTATTTATTTAATCTATCCAAGGACAAATTATAAATGCTAAATTTGACTACAATGGAATTTTCTTGGTGATTTTTAATTCAACTCAAATTACCTCTCTGGGCTCTAGAACCTTCTCCCAGACCCCGGGAGATGTCTGGTGTCAGTAATCAGAGTTAGCCCGTCTATAGTCAGTGCAGACCGAAGTTCTGCCCACAAGGTAGCAATTAGAGTCAAGTCTCTTCTGGAAATGCCAATTGCTGCTCTTTGTCTTCCCCATTGAATGTCTCCTTAATATAAGAATGACATATCATTTTTACCCTATCAAATTGAAGAATGCTATTTAAAATAACACTGATAGTTGGCAAGAATGCAGGAAAAGAAGCATGCCCAAAGAGGCTGGTGGGAATGTAAATTGGAAAACAATCTGACAACATATATCATGACATTTTTATTCTATTATATTCACTGATATTATTTGGCAGACACTGTTCCATATCCTTAAATAGTCTTAAAATCAGACTTTTTAATATCTGTATAGCATTTTATGTGAATACGCTATAGTTTTTCATTCTTTCTATGTATGTCAACATTTTAGTTGTTTTCAATTTTGGTTATTATAAATAATGCTATGGAGGACATCTTTATAAGTACAGTTTTAAATCGCATTCTGTTTATTCCTTAGGATAGATTCCTAAAAGTGGGAATAGAGCTGTTAGGAAGGTTTACCTTCAGGTAAAATTTTGCTTTAGCAACTAAAGAATTGCAATCAGCAAACCAATTCCCAGACTTAAATTCCAGTGGATCACCATTTACTAGGAGAAATATACGTGGTGATAAAACTGAGCCTGCTTATTTACATAACCTTGATAATAATGGGTAATTCCTCTGAGGAAACCAATTCAGATAGCATATATGATTGAGTAACTACTAACTCAAAAAGGACAAATCAGGTCCTACCAAAAGGATATTCATTTCAGCAAAGGGATAGCCTGATGAGTTAATTGCCTTCTGTCCTAGAGCAAAGATCATCTTCTCAAGTCATTAATGTGTAAGATTCATGACCCTTCTTACCATCATTGGTTTGCATTAATTTGCCTGTCTTTTGAAGATGGAGAAATGACTCAAATTTATAAAACTGAAAAGCCAGAATGTAGTGAAACATTCTGTAGCTGCCCATCTTTACCTCTCTGGTGGCATGAGAAGAGAAGTTACTGTCTGAAGGTTGTTCTAAAGGAAAACATAACTGAAGCCAATGAATAACGACACACCACTTTTTAACCTACCATATCAGAAAACATTTTAAATGATAACACATTGTTGGCAAAGGAACAATACTTCCCACAGCTTATTCCATGGAAAAATATTTTCATCATCAAATGAGTTTAGGAAAGAGTGAGAGCTGAACCAAGCTCACGTTGAACCTTTACTGTGCTGTTACGCACAGGGAATCTCCGTAAGGGGCTGGAGGTAGCAGCATTTCTAAACTTTTAACTACCAAATTCTTCTTGCTCTATGTTGCCTTTTGTTTTTAGCTGCTGGGTTTCTGTTGAGTATCTCAAGGGAGAGCATTATGTAGAAAGACTTTAGTAAATATTTCTCAAGGCCAGCAGTTCTCAAACATTTTGGTCTCAAGACCCATTTACACTCTTAAAAATTGTTTAAGGCCCCAAAGAGCTTTTGCTTTCACAGGTTATATCTAAGGATATTTACCATCTTAGAAATTAAAACAGAAAACCTTCAAAACACTATTACTTCATTGTAAAATAACAATAATAAACCCGTTACATGTTAACATACAGAATATATTTTCCAAAACAAACAAACAAAAGAACTAGTGAGAAGAGTGGCATTGTCTCACAGGTTTGAAAATCTCTTTAATGCTTGGCTTAATAGAATACCAGCAGATTCTCATATCTGCTTCTTCGTTGTGTCATGACATATTGTTTTGGTTGAAGTATGTCAAGAAAATCCAGGAGGAGTGTTTTAATGGTCTTTTCAAATAAGTGTTAATATTTTTTTTGGATACTGCCTCAAAACTTGACAAATGGTAATTCCTTTAATAGTTGTAGTGTGGAATCTGAAACTGTAGCAATAAACTTTTAGTGCTCTATTATGTGAAAATCCATGGTCTATGTGGCACTTTGAATGGATCCTTGCCCCATGCATATAAAATTTTGTAAAAGCGTGTATTGCTTTGGTCAAAAATATTGGCTCACTGAATTATGCAGATTTTCCAAATGTCGACACATTTCATTACATGATATAAAAAAGAATCACATTTGTTAATATCACCATCAATCTCATCGGAAAAATCTTTAACTACTGGGAAGTTGTCAAGCTCATGGTGGCAGATACAAGTTTTCCAAAATTCTAATTTTTGCTTGAAAGCTTCAATTTTATCATTGACAACAAATACTGTCCAATAGTTTACTTAAAGTGACAGGCTCAGTTTATGCATTTTTGAGAAAATGTCAAATATTGAAGTCTGAATAACCATATTTCATCTGTCAGTCATTCTTTCAAGTAAAAAATGATGTTCAACGTAAAAGCAGCTAGTTCAGCTCACAACTTAAACAGTCGTACAAGCGCTTTCTCAAACAAGTATGATACTTCAGTACACAGCAGCAGTTCTTATGCGTGCTTCCAATTTTAGCACACAGAATACTAAAAAAAAGATGTATACTCGAGAGTCAAAACTTAATTCAATTAATGATTTTTACTGCTTCATCAAGGACATTCTTAAATGAAATTGGCTTTTATTTTTTAACCATAGGTCACGGTGGTAAAGAATCAAAGACCAGTAGTGCAGTTTGGTGCCACTGCCTTGATTCTTGCTCCAGGGCCGGATTCATGCTACTGTTTTACCCACCATTGCTTTTGCACCATCAGTGCAAATGTCAACACAGTACAAAAGACAAAGAACTTAGTTTATGGTAATATAGTTTTGACCTTGCTGACATCCCAAAAGGGTCTCAGGGACCCCCAGGGCCCCGTGAACCACACTTTGGGAATTGCTGTTCTAGACTCAAACTCTAGACGTGACAAAAAACAATTAATTGGGGACAAAGAGGAAAGTTCTCATCACTACTTTATAACTTATCCACTGGGCATGTTCACTCATGAGTGTCAGGTGGCAGATCCACATTTTCCTGCAATATTCACTATTTTGTCCTTGGTATGGAAAGTCACTCGGTCCCCTCGCAGGATCACACTCATGGTGCAGCAGCAATGCCTCCTCCATGGAGTCAAGGTGGAGGGAACCTATTTGACCTGCTCGCAGGCAAAGATCCTGTGCTTCTCTTGGCTCCAGACCCAGCAGGAGCATGAGGAATGCTGTGACTTACCTACAGCAAAGATGATATTTGGAAATTGTGGTCTGTCTGCGGCTTGGGAGCGCCCAAGCCTTGCATAGCACCGTGGAGCTTTCTGCTAAGGAAGGTATGGCTAACCTAAATTATTCTGCCTGGATCTTAATAGGAATGGATAGTCTATGGCCCCATTTAATGGACCATCCGTAGAACCTACCAATTTTGAACCACTTTTCTAGAGCAATGATTCTCAAAATATGATTCTTGGATTACTTGCATCAGAATCATGTGGAGGGCTTGTTAAAAATAGACATTCCTGAAATCCACCATAGACCTATGAAAGCAGAATACCTGCAGGTGAGGAGGCAGGGCTCCCTGAACAACTGTGTAGGTTGTGCACTGCACATCTTACACAAAGGTATACCATTGTTGAAGGTTGTGGCTTAGAATTTGCAATTTTAAATTGTCTGTGTGAATCTTGGGTATACCGGATCTTGAGAGAGTATCTTAGAACAGTTGTTCTCAAAGTTTACTGTATCTCATAATTACCTGTTTTGGGGTTGAAAATACAGATTTCTGTGTGCCATGCCCCTAGAATACCTAATCAGAATCTCTTGGGTAAAAGTCTGGCCATCTGTATTTTAAAGGAGCTTCATAGTCAATTCTGCTGCCTACCAAAATGTGAAGCCATTTTTCTAGACCAAGGAAGCTATGGCTGTCTACAATAAACCAGTTCTACGAAAGTTGAAAACAACAGACCCACCGACTGCTTAGGAAACTCTGACAGCATTTTGACAGTGTATTCAGTGGCTATAAATTCATTTTTTAAAATATTCAATAACCTTTTTTTAAATCCAACTTTCTATCTTCTGTAATTATGTTTGTTTTCATTCTTAGTATGGTATTGGATCTCACCATGTATGTTATTCCACCAACATCTTGAAATTTATTTAGCCAGAATTTTCTGGTTTCATATGAATGCTAACTATGCATAGACTCATACTTTGTTCTTAAAAAAAAGGTTTTCTTTATCTTATACAAGATTTTTACATCCTTCAGGCAAAAAGACAAACTTAGTTCACTTTCAAATTACTAAATTAGATTTTTAAAAACCATGCAAATTTCATGTTATGTACTTAACATAAAAAAAAGACTCAATGTAAATGTCATGTCTGGCAATGATCCTATTCCTGGGATCTCTTACATGAAACAGAGTGGGAGGAAAGATTCTATGGCTGCCAAAATAGAGTTAAACATGTAGAAACAAAGAAAAGAAACAAAAGCATGACTCATCTCTTCCAGACAACAGGGAAACATGCAGATAAATCAGTGATTTTTCCTTCCAACTAACCTCTGAAGTAGAGACACGTGGTTTTAACAGTTACAAAGGCACCTGGCTTAAGTAAAAGCAAAATAAAAACTAGACTGTTCTCTTGTCCTAGATGCCAAAACGCCAAATCTGCCAGTCACTCAAGAGAAGAGCACAGGCCCAGGGAACTGATCTGGATGCATTCAAAGACTGCACGTGGCTGTGAGGCCAGACCAGCACTTCATAAACTGCCCCAGACAGAACAACTGCTGAATGGAATGTCAAGAGTTGGGAGGGAGAAAAGGGTTAGGGATAATTCTAAAGTCAAATTAGTTTGGAAAAACACTGAGTTCTACAGAGTTAAACAAATTCTTTTACTGTGAGACTTCTCAGCGCCATGCTGATGTGCATTACACATTTCCAAGAAGGAGATAAAGCACACAGCACTTTCCGAATGTTTGACGTTTTTTTTTGTTCCTTTTAGTTTCTTATTAGGTTGGCAGTCCCTGGGACACATTCAGGAAATACTGATTCAGGTAGATCAAGCAGTTAACGTAAATGTTCAGGTATGTACCTGAACTGTGGTAGAAGAATCTAGATGACACAGAAATGGTGAAGGCATGCCCAGAAGTCAGTCCCACTACATCAAGTCCCTTAGCCTCTCTCCATTGGCTTCCTCAGCTCTGAAAGAAAGATGATGCTTATTAGTAAAATGCCTTGGGATGATTGGGCAGGAAACAGTAAATAAGAGCCAATTATTGCCCTCATTACAGAGTAGATGATCTAATAAACCACCCCTATTACTTACAAAGTTCGAGGTTGTTTTTTGTAACTGCACTTCAGTTTGACCTAAGAGATCTATACTAAAAAGAACAAACAAAACACTCACAGGAAATACATCCAGAAACCATAATGTAAGCTTTCTGATTGGACCCTTCTCTGCCTACACATTTTCAATGGCTGCCAATTGCCTGCAGATAGAATCCAAATTTCTTAGTCTGGTGTACAAACATCCTAGGTTGTCCCCAACAGACTTTTTATACCAGCTCCATCTTTCGAGAGTCAGAATTTATGATTAAATTACCGACTTAACCCAGATTTTTAGTCTCATGATTTTTAATCATGGGCTTTGGAGGCAGACAGACATGGTTAAAAGTGCAGACTCCACTCCATGACATCTTGAATAAGCTACTTCACTTCTCCAAACCCTTGATTCTCAAAGTGTGGTCCATGGACCGGCAGCATCAGCATCATTTGGTGCTTATTAGGCAGAATTGCAGGCCTCATTGCCAACCTACTGAACCAGAATCTGCATTGTAGCAAGATCCACAGGCAATCCCTACACACATTAAAGTTGGAGAAGCACTGCTCTAATTCTCATCAGCTCATCAGAAAATTGGGGTTTATAATAGTAAAATTGGAGGTGGCGGTCATTTTCCTCTCCTGTCCCTTTGAACCCATCTCCAAATCCTAAGGATTTCACCACCTAAATATCATTCAGCTATGCCCATTTCTCTCTTTCCCTTCACTATTTTAGACCAAGCCATTCTCATTTCTGTCCAGATCTACTGCAATGGCCACCCAGCTCATTACAATGCATCCACTCCTGCTTCCCTCTTACCTATTCTCCCTACTGCAACCAGAGAGAGAGTCTAGGAAATGCAAATGAGATCAGATCTTCTATCTGGTTTTAAAACAAAAGCCAAAAGCCTTTACCAGAACTACAACCTATGCCCAGGCAGCCCTGACCACCTCTATGTCTTATCTTGAGTCATGCTTCCCCCAGCTTCCACTGATCCAGAAGCACTCGTTTTCTTTCAGTTCCTTGAACTAGCCATCTTCCTTCCCAATACAGTACATTTGCAAAAGCCATCCTCTCTGCATGCACTGCCTTCCTTCTCTTCTTTGCCTGGTGAACGCCTCCTCAGTCTTTAAATGTGAGCTCAAATGTCATCAACCCTGAAATTATTCCCTGACCTTCCTCCCCAACAACCAACACACTGCCTGGCCCATTGCCTGTGCCCCACAAGTATTTGTTGAATAAATGAATGTAGGAATTAATGAATGTTCAACCATATGATTATTGTGACAATCAAACAGATTAATACTCATAAAGCATTTAGCACAGTGCCTGGTAGTGAGCAAGAACACAGTGCTGTACCAGTTATGTATTTTGAATATTAGCCCTACTAAAAACTAGAGACCAAGCAGGGCTCAAGGTGGCTAACAATTAGAATCACCTGGGAAACTTTTAAACCTCTCAATGGCAAGGCTCTGCCCCAAACCAATTAAATCAGAATCTCTGGGGATGGGACCCAGAGACCTGAAGGTTTTTAAAGCTCCAGAGGGGATTTCAATGTGCAGCCACAATGGAGAACAACTGCTTTACCCTTTTTCTCACTGTGGCCTCCCAGCCTTCCAGAGAAATGCATGCTGAGTGACAAGAAGAGTCTTCATTATTCACGGCATGAGTCCATGGCCTCACTTCTCCCATGGAAAGGGACAACAATAAGAATTCAGGTAGTAAAGTCCAGCAATTCATTTTCCTCAAGCCTCTTGACAGTATCCAGACGGTAGAAACTCTCCATGTATCACCAAAGGCAAAGTGAAACCTTTCTGGGGAAATGCAAGTTGCCTGAACCACTATAGGGAGGGGGTGCAGCAACAGGTGAAGATGATTCTGGTCCTTAGCGTTAAGTGTTGATTTAACAAAATTCATTAGGATGCCATTAAAAAACCTGTCATAATTGTCTCGCTGAAGCAATTGCTTTATGGGAGCAATTAATTTCAACTGCTGAAAAAAATTTTAGCCCTCTTGAGTGTCCATACAGGCTATAAGACATAGGTAGGCAGGGAACCACTTGAACTTACCGTCTGTCTCCCTCACTACCGAAGTATTTGGGGCACCAAGAGACCACACTTACTTTAACAGGCCTCTTCTTCCTAATGACCAAACTTCTGTGTATCTAAATATACATTTAAGTACAGACATGTGACACTATGTTACTTACTCATTTTGAACTTTTCCAAATGTGATACAAATGATGGGTATCTAAAGAACCTTTATCCCTTTTAAGGACTCAAAACAGACACACACACATATACACACACTCACGCTGAACCAAAATGCCTTACATTGCCAGAAAAAGCAGGATGCAGGCCTCAAACAATCTGAATACCATTTAAAATTAAAACCTACTAAGTCAAAGCTGATACTAAGCCAACACAAAGGGTGCAGAATTGTTACAAAAGACACCGGATTGCTCTCTGCAAATAATATCCCACTGGGCTAAATTCCCTCTCCTCCTGTTTCTCCATGCTGGTAAATTGCAAAAAAAATAAAGCAAAAAAAGGGCATGATTCATGAATATAAATTTTTCTTGGCTTTTTAAATGATCCACTGGCATACTCCTCCTCGAACTTCAGCCAAATGAGAATACACAGATAATGACAATTTTACACTAAGTGGTTCCAGGATGGAGGCTTTTCAAGATCCTCAAATGAAAGGCATTATAAAAAAGAGTATTATTATTTCAAGCACCCAGAAAAACCACAATCAATGATTAGCCATAACAATTAAACTAACAATAATAAATTTAGAATAGGCTCCATGGTAATATGTACTTCATGCTTAATAGTTCAAATTAATTCAATCTGATGGCATTAGACATACCAGTTAGGAGTTGGAGAGCACCAAAATTCCCATTAGCTTCCACTTTGAAAGATATTATGAAAAGAGAAGGAAGGAGATGAGGCTATAAAGAGCAGTGGTAAATAGGAAGGGCTCATAGATGATATGGTCAGGAATAACTCTCAGCTATTAGGAATTCAACAATGAAAACATGAAGGCTGATAGTTCTATCCTCACACATTCCTTCAGAGCCAGTAACTGGGCAACCCATGTGAGGCAAGAGATCTGAAACCCCCAAATCCAGGCCATTATCCTCAGAGAAGGGGCTGCCTTCTTCCCACTGCCCATAATTTCCTTTACCAGTAGATTCAGAATAGAGGAAAAATTTGTAATTTTCAGGTCATAGACCTCAAGAAATATGAAAGGGGAGTGTGGGATGGGATGGGCACAAAAGGTGGGGAGTTATTGCCTGATTACCTTACTTGTCTCATTCCACCCTATAGATTTATAGATAACTATCTTAGGCTCTGCTGTCCCCTATATATATTCTCTAAGGTAGAATTTCTCAACTTCAGCACTGTTGACATTTGGCCCAGGTAATTCTTTCTTGTGAAAGCCTGTCTTGTACATTGTAGGATGCTCAGCAGCATCCCTAGCCTCTACCCCCTAGTTGCTAGTAGCACCCCCTTCTCAGTTATGACAACTGAAAATGTCTCTAGACATGGCCAATGTTCCCTGGGGGACAAACTTACCCTGCTTGAGAATCATTAATTTAAGGCTTTAATTTTCCTGTTTCCAGGCATCCAGGAAGAAAAATGAGTTAAGAGTACAGACTCTGGACTCTTCTTCCTCATTAGAGATGAGCATGCATTGAGTGGCCAGCTGTGTGCAAGGCAACACTCTTCCCAGGGCACACTGATGCCCCTTCCTAATACTTTTGCACATATCGGCTTGTTATACATCATACGGAATCTTAGAACCTAGCATCCTTCTATTCACTGTTCAGGAAACAATCAACATAGCAGACCTGAGATAGCCTATCCTTAGACAGGCTTGCTTGCAAGGTTGGCCCTTGGCTGGCATCTGGGAACTTGGGCTGGTAAACAGTTCCCTACACTGTCGCAGAATTTTCCCTAAATGATAGAAGTGGCCACTATGCCTTAATTGTTTGTACAAATAATATGGTTTATGCCGAACACCTGCTTTCCTTCTGGGAGTCTGGAATTTGGAGACGTGCTAGGCAGATCAGCCCCCAGCAGAAACCTTATGCAGAGTCTCTAGTGAGTTTCCTTGGCAAACAATGCTTGACATTGCAGCTCCTTGCTGGAGGAATTAAGCACATCCTGTGTGACTCCACTGGAAGAGGACTCTTGGAAGGTCGTGCCTGATTTCCACCATACTTCACCCTATGCCCTTTTCCCTATGCTGATTTTACTTTGTATCATTTCACTATAACATAATCACAAGTATAACAACTTCTGAGTCCTATGAATTCTTCCAAAGAATTAGCAAAGCAGGGGGTAGCACTGGGGACCATGAACACAGTCATTCATTCAACAAATATTTGACTGTGTGCCTCTATTTCTAGACACAGGGTTTATAGCAGGGAATTAAACTAAGTCTCAGTCGTCACAGAACTTACATGATAGCGACAAGGGAAGCATTTACTCTAGCACACTTCAAGCTCCTTCCAGAGAAAACAAGCCGTGTGGCATCTCTTCTTTGTCTGTTTTTATAACAGCTTTTTCTCAGATATAATTCAGACACCATACAATTAATCCATCTAAAGTGTACAATTCAATGGTTGTAAGTATATTCACAGAGTTGTGCAACCATCACTACTATCAATTTTAGAACATTTCATCACCTTAGAAAGAAACCCCACACCTGCTAGCAGTCACTATTCATTTCCTCCCAACCCCCTAATTCTAGGCAACCACTTAGCTATTTTCTGTCTCTATGGATTTG